AAACATTCAATGGTGCAAACCAAGTAGAAAAGCAGTACAAATCAAATAGAAAATATATCTCATAGCCTGAATTTCCCGTTATTAAGCCGATTTACATTTCCAAACAGAGAGGTTGTCATTAACGGAATTCATTTTTTCATATTGAATCATCGCTGCAACAAAATTATAGGTGAATGTGATGGAATGCATGGAAATTGGAGGCAAGAAAGGTGAGCTGAGAGATCGTCATTTTTGTGTTTATCGAAAGTCGACGTGTAAATATATGACCATGAAACAGTGTCCACGACTAGTGATCATCGATGGTGACGTAAGAAATGGAATGTTAACCCTAACAACCCCAGAACATGAACCAATTCAAGTGGACATTCACAAAGTTCTGGCTGCAAATCAGATTGTTAATGTGAAGTATGTTTCAATTCATCTCACAGTCACTTAATTTTTTACCAATTTTCTTCTTTGTTTTCGTTTCAGAACAGCGCCATCATCAAAACTTCAATTTCGAGTTGCTAATCCGAACTCTCAAGCGGACAAATATTCATGGGTACTACGGCCCGGGTATTGTCAATGTTCAGTATCGACGAGTTGTCGTGTTTTTGATCGAGAAATCTGATCCGACGATGAATGTCTTGCTAGGTTCTATTCCGGTGTAATTGAACTTCCAAAAGCATATGAAGGCTGAGCACCAACGGTGACCACTTATTTCGCGAATATTTTATTCCAAAATTTTTGTAATTATCTGAAATTCCGGTGGTCACTCGTCAATTCTAATACCGTTTTTTTAAAATGTGCAGAAGATGCAGAAAAAGTGAGAAATCCAAGGATACTTACATTAATATATTTGTCGTGAGAGAACAATATGTTACCTGATATGGATGGTGATGTCCATTGATGAATTAAAAATCAAAAGAATTTGTTATCAACGTACGACACAAAGTTGCATTCATGGTTCTTCAGTCATTCCGGTATAACGTCAAAAGATGAAATCGCTCCGGTCAAGTGAAAATACACCAAATGTGATAATTGTGCATGAATATTTGGCTGAAACTCATGATTGCAGAATGTACGGTGATTTGAAAAATGAAGGTCTTGATTGCGGACAAGAAGTTGGCAGTTGGCTTGAGAAAGTTTTGCATGAGGACGATCAGCTTGGTTTACTTCACTACAGAGATGGACTTCACAGTGAGCGATGGTCACATCGTGGATACAGATGGTTTTTTGGTATAGCACCAATCAGAGACAAGGTTTCGTCCCCCTTTATTTCCATCTTTTCGTTAAACACTATACATGATCTGTTGTTGATCGGACTTCAGTCAGTCGGTTTTTTTGAAATGATGCAGAGAACTCGAAAGTGTTTCGAGGGATGAAGAATGTTCCGTAAAAGTTCAGCAATCATTAAAGCATGAAAATATTGCCTGCAGAAGTGCGCTTGTTCTAGACTGACTATAAGTTGTTAGTTAATTCATCAGTTTGCATTGAATCACGCAAATTATCTTCAAATAACTCATTTTTAGAACGCACATAATTTCAGATCGCCTTTCCTTACTTGGCGCCATATTTATGTGTCTCACGTGCATCGATTGAAGACGTAAAATCTCGTTTGCCAGATGATAAGGAGATAAGCGCGCGTAATTTTCGAGCTAATATCGTGATCGATGGATGCGCACCGTTTGATGAGGACTGGTGGATGGAACTCAAAATCGGTGAAGTTGTGTTTGAGTGTTACGAGTCATGTGATAGGTAGTCTTTTCAGTTCAACTTCTTATTCAGTTAGACATTCAGTTCTTATTATTAGATAGAAAAACCAGCTAATTTTGAACAATAACACCTCCTGTTGCTCTAACGTTGAACATTTTTGATTATATTTGTCTCAAATAACCACTCACCTCCACTCCTCTAAGCTCGAATAATCAGATCGAAATTTAAAAGCGATTTTGCATTACCATCGAGAACAGAATGTAAAACGCGCCCTGGATGCTCTTGGCATTCCCGAAAATGATAAACGCTTGCTTTCAACGTCAGCTCATCGCAAAAATCTTTCAAAATTGCCTAGGTGCCCCCTTTTATTTCAATATCACATTTCCTGTTCGAGTTGGCTTTCTATTCTAGCTGTGACAATATCCATAATTTACCTCATATTCAGAATACAGTGAATAAGCGATTTTTATGGATGTTTATTTTTGATCCTCGCATTGACTTAGAAGAATCGATTCCCTGATCACCTATGAGCATCCACTGAAGAACCGATAATCCTGTACATACGCGTTTAAGGTGCATGATCACAACAATTGATCCATCAACTGGTTACAAAGATCCGGATATGCAACCGTTGAAAGCACTTCAACAGTACGTTGCTTTTGCTAGAAATTAATCACATTTTGCGGCCACAAGCAATTTTCAGCAGCATCAGGCTGACAAAAACGTCTGATCTTCGTTACGCACTACCATTTGTCTTCCTATCAATACCACCTTTCTGTGTTAGCTCTATCGGAAGACTTTTATATCATTTCAACACTGATGTCGTCAAAACAGGTATTGTTTCTTGTGTTTACCTGATGCCAGGCCATGTTCCCAAGATCGATACTCAATTCTCCACCTGCTTAGCAGCACTCGTTCCCTTTTTCTTGTAGTGACAGCCTGAACTCAACTTGAAGTTCGACATGACAAGCGAACTCTATTGCTTCTTTGTTTTCGACTGAGTGAGTCAACTAATTTGCAGATATCGATTAGCTCCAGAGGGTAAGCTTCGAGAGCGCTGTGGGCAATGTCCGCTGTTTGGCGTTTATTTGGGAGTTGATCATTCCGGTACAATTCACGTTGGTGANGATAGTCTCAAAGCAGAATTCTCCTTCAGTTCAGCAGTGATAGAGGACCGTATCCGAATAAGCGTTGAAACACGCCACATTCAAAAAGTACGTGTCTTTTTTCGAAATTGAAGCGCACAAGCACGCATTCCAAACTCCATCTGTACACATCAATGCCGTACAAATAACTGATTGATACTAAATCAGCATGTTTTTGTACCTCTATTTTGTGTGGTTATTTGCAAAGTTTGCATTGAATATGTTGAATAATGTGTGCATTTCTAAAATTATGGCACTCATCGCATTCTTGTAACTGATCATGAGGCTTCATGTAAATGAATTCGTAACTAACCGATTTTACTCCTGACCCATTCGTTGAACGCAATTTTCCAGTCTTTATTGATCTAATCATTAAATTGATCTGCGATGAAAGTGAATAAATTGATTTAATTTCTTCTTTTTTTACACGGTTAATGCAATATTTATCGCTACGATTTTTTCAGTGAAAAAATCGTAGCGATAAACATTGCATTAACTGTGTAAATATTATATTATTAACTGTAAATATGATTATTAAAATAATATTATTTTTAGGAATTGCTTTCGTGGGTTCATTTTTCCCGTTGTTTTGGAAAATTGGAATTGAAGGGAGAACAAATGTGTTGTCTGCAGATAGAAATACTGTCCACTTGCAATTCATATTGTTCAAGGTTTTCTGCTCACATCCTGTAATTTGTTGTTTTATTAACCAATCTCTTCTCAGTTTTTCCACCTCTTCTAATTTGCTTCGTTCTGATCTTCGTCTTTGCTAAACCACGTTTCAGTTTTCCAAGCAACCGCTAGGAAAGAAAGCAACAGGTGATCGAAGAGAATACGTATAACTGCCGTTTAGATCCATACCAGTGTCGTTTACGTCAAAACTCTTGCATGCTCATATACTATAATCGTGTTGTTGCTATTGCATATA